ATTCCAAGGGAAGAATCACGAGACTGGAAATAAATTTCTAGCTCACAACATTTCAGATTTTAGGGAATTCCTTGGACACTACTCAACTTCTCTACTCGGTTTAAAAAATGTGCAAGGTTTCCCTGGATCTCCTCTCAAAGTCTGCCATCACCCTAGAACAAGAGTACTGTAAGGTGAACTATGGCTCTTCTCCCTCTTGTCAGGAGTCACTGATTGGTTCTAGTTCTTCAGTGAAAATATTATTCCCTTTTGCCTACTCAAGTTATCTTAAATGATCTTTAATCCCATCCCAGAACTTCCTCAGCAGTCTCTGAAATCTCCACCTATTTAAGACACCTCAGGCCAGTTTCTGTAGGGAGTTGAATTATGGGGCACCTGTGTATGCATTATAAAACACTTTGCTGTTCACAGCACTAAAAGCGGCAGATTGTCCAGATTCTACTGCAGATTGATTTGCCCATGTCCACAAGTTCCATTATCAATTTAGCAGTGAAAACTGCATGGGGAAATTACATAAACCCTTACCTGAGGCACGTGTGTAAGTCACTGTGCTCATGACTTCATCAGGTAAAGAGAAACAAACAGAATTTCTGGTAGGGAAACAACAAACTGGACATCACACAAAATCCTATCAACATCTATCTGCCTTATCACCCATCATCTGAAGTGCATTTACCTTAAAAAAATTTAATTGAATAAACAGTGCTGMTGCAATTAAAAAGGACAAAAAGCACCTCAGACAAAACGTCTTTTAGGAAGGTATAAAATGGCAGAGMGCACAGACTATTTTACGCAACAGATAAGGCTCTGCATCATTTGCAGAAAGCTCATGAAGAAGAGACATTTATTCATACATGAGGAGGAATGAAAAAAAGAGATGAACAAGGAAATGTTTTTATGAAAACATGGCCCAAACTTTCGCAGAAGATGAGCTATTATAATAGGAATTTAAGCATTGYGATATTATAAAATTGACAGAGCAACACTCAAGACAACATATGATGCTGGAAAGAAGGCCCAGCAGATGAAACAATCATAGCTTGGGCAAGGACATTAAAGAGGGGGGCAACAGAAGCAGTGTAAGGTTCATCATGTAAGCTCTTCATGACAACAATATAAAGAAAAAATATCACAAGTCCTGAGAATTCTGTATATATAAACGTATTTGGATATTTTCCTACCTACGTGGTCTTTGAAAAAGTTACTGCAGGGACTGAAAGATCCATGTCTTTTCTTACCCGTTTTCTACCACATGATAAAATTAAAATACTTAATAATTGCAATTACACACCATCATCAGGAGAAGAAAACATACATCAAAAGGAAGGAAATCTGACGTTTCAGATTTTCTATCTATACCCACTAGGTTTATTAAGGCAACTTTGGATAAGAGTATTAAAATAACACAGAAAAATCAGCATTAGGAAACAAACCTCATAAACTGTTTCCATGTTAATTGTATGAGGAAGGAGGCACTAAAGAGTCCATTTACAAGAGTAGAGTTGAGGATAAAACTTAGGATTTACCAATATGAATGCAATCACAAGSATAACAAAACTGGTTTCCTGGAAATTCATGCATCAAATGCAACAGCACATTTTAATTTATGAATCTGCAGACTTCACATCATCATGATAAATGGATGACAATAATTYTCAAACTTAATGTCAGTGGGTTGTAAAGATTAATACCCACATTCTTCCTTGCATAAATTAACTATCCAAAACTGATAGGCTGAGACTGATTCTCTGCTCTTACAAGGTGTAACAAATCTATGAACAACAGTATCATCATTTATAATGTTTCATAATTACACTGCCTTTTTTTACACAAGTCATTAACTCTTGCTTTCTTTATAAGGAACAAACGCCCATTTAAACTCTTTGCAGTCAGACTTTTTCACTTGTAAAGACCTCATCTTTTTTTTTGTTCTGTAGTGCTATTTTCTTTGAACACAGYATCATACATAAATAGCAAGAATAAAACACAACAAAAAACAAAAGAAAAATCCAATTTCAAGAGCATAGGTGAATCTGAAMAGCAAAGACCAATACACTTAGAACAAGAACAGCACTATTCCACATACATTTTTGTTTATTATTAGATGCCAATTATAAGGACTTTAAAAAACTCCCCCCCAAAAAAAATCAAACAAAAAATACCCAAAACAAACCAACAACAAAGAAAAATTTACAAAAAAAAAAACCACACACCAAACCAACTTTTCAAATACTTACAATTCTCCTTCCCCCAGCGCCAGTGGGATGGCAGGATTGTCAGAAAAATCTGACCAATCAGTCAGAGAATAAATCTAAAATAAACTTTAAAGTAGGCAGTTCTCTTGTACGATGCAGAGATCTGAATCACCAGAGCTGCTAGGGAACTCGTGCTTATTGTATTTACTAAAAAGTATAATGTAAGCTTGAATGTAATTTTAACACTCCAGGACTGATCACTTCCCTCACCACCAGGGCTTCAAACTCAGCAGCTCAACTCACATGTGAAGAGCTGACCCATCGACACAGCACAAAATCAGTTTGGAATGAAATCTGTTATTTAAAAAAAATGGTTTTTTCCCAGTATGCCCATGTTGGCATAGGGCGTACAATACTATTTTTTGTAGAAGAAACAGAACCATTATACATCAGCTCTGGAATTCCTTTCCTCTCAAATATAATGCAAAATCCTCAATGCACATTATCTTTCCTAATTACCAAGTAATTTCCAGAACAGGTAGATATCCTCTTCCATTACACTTCTAACATCTCTCTTTAGCCAGAGCAATATACGAATGTTTCAATCCCTCAGAACACAGTAAGGATGCTAATACCCTGCAGAGTAGACCAGGAGTGGCTGGTCTTGCACTGTTCCTTACACTTACTCTTAATAATTTCTTTGTACATGAGCTAATTAAAAGTAATCTTCCCAAAGCAAGGTGACACTGCCATAAAGAAACATCATCTCAGCAGATCACTTTAGAACAAGCATGACACTTGAAGTTTAAACAAATTCAATTAACATRGGCCAAAGGGTTCTACCAAAGCTTACAGAAGATGTGCCACACAGTTAAAAAGCAAATACAGGAACATTTACCTTTTTTGGACCTCATGACATGTAGACCTAACACATTGGTGCTGCCTGAATTACAGCTCCTGCATTTACTTACTTTGAAATATTGTCAATCATTCAACTGTTCAACCAAAGAATGTAAAATACATTTAAAAGCCAGGAGTCTTCTCTGAAATGAGCAGCTACCCATGATAGATTTTTAAAAAAAATTATTGAAATACCTAATTTTATTCTTCAAGTCCCAGAAATTTCGGTAAAAAAAAATCTAAAGTGTGCTATTTCAATGAATCATAACTATATAGATAAAAATAAACCTATAGATCAATAAATTTGACAGAAGAATTTTAACCTACTACAAAATCTCCTGAGTTTTGAAGAGATTCATGTATTTTATTTATTAGCATTTGAATGGTTTCATCTCTTTATTAACAGCTCTACCAATACCTGCACAAATTTCAGAAAATTTCAGAAACAGGTAAGATTCACATTATAAGCAACAGGCAGGTTCATAATCCACTTACACTAAAAGCTAACTTACACAGGGAGAAAACAATTCTCAGGTTATGCTTTTCTGTACTAAGATGCTGAAGATACAGGCAGGAGAGCARCTCTGGGAATAATCAGGCCCACAGTACTTACAGTAAATTCTTCTACTCTCAGAGCTAAGTCACTTGCCAGGTACAGCAGCTGACCATACAAAGCCAGGAGAATTTCCCTGCCCAGAGAAGAAGTCTGTGTTGTCCCTCATCAGCAGACCCACAAAGGGCCTGAACAGCCATCACTGGTCATGCTTTTTGCACTGTAATATCCACATCTGATCATAAACACGATAGAAACCACGCCAGCAGTTTCCAGTCCCCAGAGCAAAGATACCCAAATGGTTTTCAAGATACCCAAAACAGGCTTTAGAGCAATGAAATACCCAAGGCTCTGTCCCCTCTGAGGCAAGAGTCCACCCTCATATTTAATGAGCAAAGCACAGCGTGGGAATGTGAACTTAGCTCTGACTTCACTCTCAGACTACGGACATCTGCAGAACTACCAATGCTTCCTATTACTGCACTAACAGTCCTGACAAACGGAACTAATCCTGAAGGACATGCCCCGAGAGAAACGGGCAAGGACAGGGCCCACTAACCATACAGACACACAGAAATGAAACCACATTTCACAAATACATGTTTTTCCTTCCTTTCTGTGTTATGCTACTTGAAGAGGAATCAAAAGAGTGGAATCATAAAATTTACATTTGCTTCGCAATTAAAGATTTCTAAAGTATGCATATAAAGGTGTATTTTAGCAGGAGCAACACAAAAACCAGGCAATGTACAACTGAAATGCTTTGCTGAATGCTTTTCATCAGTGAGGGCAGAATTTTGCCTCCCAGCTGGGATCTTCAAACTGCAAAAAGTGAAACAACTGTTTTCTATCTTCTTTTAAATGCTGAGGACACTCACTGCTTCAGTAAATACAGTTTATTACCCGAGGTCTCTTCACTGAAGAGATGTGTAAGTACATTTTGTGTGACAAATACACCTGCGACACTGAGAATTCCAGAAATTCTACTGTCCATTCCACAGTAACTGGAACACAGGGTATCACAAGAACCTCTTGTTTAAGGTGTATGTACAGGGATATGCACTTGCTCTCCTTGGAGACTTCTCACAGCTGCAGAAAGGATTTGAAACTGAAGAGGAAAATGAAGCTGTGAGGATGAATAAATGTAGCCCTGTCACATCCACCTGGTCAGCTCCAGTGACCGACACCCAGCTCTACACCGTGCACAGCAGGAATATCCACTGCGTGGGGACGTTTTGAAAAGGACCAATGGCTTCACAAATCCTTATAAAATCCTCACCTTTGACTGGTTTCCTACTGAAAAGTRATGAAAAGTTTGCAAAGCATGTAAAAGAATAATTAGAATGTCATACCTGATACAGCAAGGAAATCATCAATACTTGTTATATCATCCACAGCTTCRGTAAGAACACGGATGTGACTCTCCCATGCACTCCTATACATCTCCATGTTATTTTTCACAACTTGACTTTTTGGTCTGGCAGCAAGAGCTAAAGCAGCATTAATAACCTGTACCAAAAATAGACAAAACCAACTAAATAATTACTTCTTCAGAAATCAAACCTTCCGTTTTACTTAACATTGTAGAGCAGCATTCCTGTTCTCCAAGCAAAAGCTTTGCCCAGTTTTTGGTTTTGTACTCAAGGAGAAATATCAGTCAGATGTTGCTTCAGCCAACTTCCATTTTAGCTTCATAAATTAAGCAGCTGATGGAATAGGAGAGCAAAATCCCAATATTTTGTTTTTATTTGGAGAACTCATACTCTCCCAGTTCGCAAGATACCAATCACAGGGAGGTTTTTACCCACACACACTTACCAGTACAGTAAACATCATCACTTCAGTTTTGAGTGCAAACTCCTTAACATCAAGAGCTTATTATGGAGCATCTCCACTGCAAGAGAGAATATCAGCCTCTGCCATGTAAAATGGGAGGTTTTGCCAGGCCAACAGGTGTCTCTTAGGATCAAAGGCACAGGATATAACACATACTACATCCAGATAAAAGCAGTAGACTGACAATGCTAAATCAGTTCAGACTGAGAACAGAAACTATAYTACCATCAAGAAGGTATATTCCATCTCTTTCAGCAAAGACTAATTGAAGATGCAAACACTGGATCTTAAAGCAATTATTCCTACAGATACTTCTTCAGTCAATTAGCTAGAGAGGTTTTTTCCCAATGTGGAAATTTATTGATGTTATATTCATAAACATTTTTTAATTAAATTAACATGAAAGCCAGGTACAAGCTAAACATTAACACGGCACTTACCTTCTTTCCCCTTCTGAATACTGCTTATTTATCAAGGGGAGAATCAAGACAACAAAACACCACATAAAACAAAAATGGGAAGAATAAAAACAATATKACCTAGTTGAGCATGGGAGAGAATTAAAAACACAGGAAATGCAACAGGAAAAGAAGAMTAAAAYSAACACCCCACATAAAATATATTACAAGTTAGCTTTCTGTTTCTAAAAAAGGAAGAAACTGTTTGAATTGTATGTTGGTCCTGGAAAAAGTCATAAAAAGACTGCAAGATACCTTAATAGACCAGAATATGCTGGTGCAGTATCAAGAATTCTGCCTTCCCCATTTTGGTCAGCCAGGCTCGTGACTTAGTAACAAACAATTGTTATAGTACAGGAAAAGCAGAAGCTCTAATACTGCCAGGGACAAAAGGCATCAAGGCTGGCATTAAACTGGCACCATCTAYAGACTGGGGGACATTTTCAGAAAAACGGGGATGCAAGTTAGAATTGGAAAAAAATACTCATTATAACWGTAAATGTTTGAAAACATTGGAAAGCAGGTTTCAAGCAAGCAACACATGTACTTCTGTCCAAATCATATATTCTATTCAGATGCAAACCACACGCAGAAACTCGATTCAGTCCCAATCCCTGGACAACTGCACACAAGAAATCACCTCCAGTTTCTCCATTTCAATAGCAATAGCAAAGATACATAACTTTCTACATTCAGTGCAATATATAAAAGCCCATTTCTGTTTGGCACTACAGCAGCTTCCCCAACACTCTTTTAAAAAAGTAAGAAATTTACAGGAGTTGAGGCTGTGACTGTTTTCATTCCTGTCACGCTTGATCCAATTTCACAGAATCAATTTTCTAAGCCAGGGGCTCAAAATTTCACCTCAATAATTCTTAGGTCACATTGATCCTGTTTTGATTCATCACACTAACTAGTTTAGGTTTTAAAATGTGTCCATCAAGACCGAAATACTAAACAGGTAATTTTTAACTTTTCTGTTTAAGCCTCTAATTAGATATTATCTCAAAGTCAAACCCTATTTCTGGTTGAATACAATAGTCTTTTTCTTACTGCATTTTTCATCTTGGTTTTGGTAGATTTACCAGGTTGCTCTGCTAAAAGTAACAATGAATGCAAAAAGCTGTTTCAGTATCAGAACCAGCATCTTTTATCTTGCCAAAGATTAAAACTAACAGCTTTTGTCTTGCCAGATGCAGTGAAGAGGTAAACTGCTAAGGAAGATCACCAAAACTGTTACAGAATGTAGCCAACTTTATTAAATGGTGCATTTAGAAATCCTGATGACTCGTGATAGAGATGGCCCTAGAAATAAAGTCCAAAAACCTTCAGTAACTGCAGTAAGTCCAGCCCAGGCAGGCAGGCACCTTTATCTAACAGCACACAGACTGCACAGGCACATGTGATGGGCTGAGACTACACAAGGACTGCAAACGATCCCCTCTAATCACCTCAATAACACAAACCAGAGCATTTACCTAAGGCTTGCTTCTCCCAACAAACTTACAGCTCCAAGTTAAATCAGTTCATGCCACACAAAGGCAGCTAATCCTGAATTAAATATTAAACTGAAACCATTCCTTATGGTTCCCCTGCTAAATTGCTCTAATATTTAATATCCTGTTAAGAAAAAACTTAATTGCACTCTGGATAAACACTGCTTCCACAAGTATGGAACCAACTCACAGAAAAACATCCCATATGGCAATTCAGATAGACAGCAATGAAATCAAAATCCCATCATACCCAAGTTGCAGAGCACACTACAGACCACACATCTTTGTCATGCCTGAATCATGTCAAGGTACGAGACTCGTGAGCCAAGCAAGGCTACTGAAGTGGGTCTGAGCACAGCTCTGCTGGGAGCTCTGTTCTATCTGGAACTGTCTCAAAGCCATGATCCACAGCATGCATGGTTCAGACTGGGGACTCTCAATMTGGCCTAAGAAACTTTAAGACACACATAAGTAAGCTGGAGACTTCAAACCCTCTTCTCCCGTAAAAAGAAGAAAAAAAATCAAAACAGGAGAAGAAAAACTTCGCATCAAGACACTCCCAGTCCCCCCAACAAGAGAGAAGGTTGAAAAAAATCTTAGCCAGTTTTTTAGGCTTCATGAAGTTTATTAGCTTTTCTACCTCACTCCAACCATCATTCATGGTATAGATTTATCATCTGAACTGGCCTTCAGAAACAATGAGAGCAAAACTCATCAGAAGTCCCTGTTTAATCACTGCTTCCTGATCTAGAACAAGGTTAACATTTGTTGCTGGCTTATTAAATATAGCCTTATTCTACCTTATTACAGCATATTAGGCTGCCCAAATTCCATTATTACTTTTTCCCCATTAGTATTTCTGCACACAAATCTCAGTTCAGGTTACCATAAAGCTACTACTTGTCCTGTTCACTGCTTGGGCAGTTCACTAGAAGTTAAATTGACAGCTTTCACATAAATCCTTGGACTTGTGAGCAGATGTTAGGTAAGGASAGCATCTGCTATTATTAATTGTACAGCAATAACATCCACATGTCCTCATCAGTCCAGAATACACCATCCTCTATACATTCCATCAAATGAAAACTRGTCTCTGAAGTTTAACAGAGCAGTGATTACCCAAGCTGAGAGACGCTTGGGGACAATGTGAAACAGTAACACTAAGTTAWTCCTTCCTTCCACTATCTAACTTCTGAACAACTGGTTGCTACATAAAAACACAGGTTCAGATGAAATTTGAAGCATRCACAGCACACACAGTTTATAGGAATACACTCCTGTAATTTGCAAAAACAGGGCATATGGGGGTGGAAAAACAAAAAACCAGGACCACAACAACCCCACAAGCCCACACCTGGCCACTGTTCACACAGATTATGACCATGGCACAGTTACTTCRTTACTGTAGATGTAACAACTTGGAGACAACAGACATGCGGGCACACGAGGCAGGGAAGCAGTGTTCTAGGAGATGGTGCCTTTAGGGAAGGATGAATCATCCAACCCAAGGTCAGGCAAAAGGAGACAACCCGAGAGTAAAAAGTGCATATACAGGGTTGGATTAACATTACCAGAGAACACTTATACAGTCTTTCAATTAAATAAAACAAGGAAAAAAGCAATGGTAAAGGTCATTTATGGCAGTAACCACGGCAGAAGAAAACTAGAAATTTCYTAGAAATTAAATATAAGGACATTCAGAATGCTGAAAATTGTTAGCCCCTCTAACCAAAGCAAGGAAAATATATTGGTTAATAGCTTGAGTTTTGTTTGGCGATTATCTTTTTTTTTTGCAGAGGAACAGGAACTGGCCACCCAGCTTTACATTCATCTGCACATCCAGCAGATTAATTTCCAGCAAAATTAAGTGGGCAAATACATCAACTTCCACAGTAACAGCAGAGACAAGTTCAGTCAAATATTTCTCAAATATACTTGAGAAATTTATCTCCAAGAATAGAAGGGTCAGTTCTGCCCYAGTGTGAGCTACTACTGCAAACTGAAAGAGCTCACCCCAGGCTAACACCATTTAGAACTCGACAAGAGTTTTGCTACAGGAGGGTGAAACTTTGGAGCTCTGTATTTTATTGCTGAAGGAAGTATAACAGGATGATAATATTTAAGGTGAACAGTACATCAATGTGTTATTTGAGACTGTCATTTCTAGAGACCAGAACTCAGGTCTTCATTYAAAATCAGAACTATTTTGTGTATCTTACACTGATCCCAATTAATTTATGTAATGTGACCAGTTTCTAAGCTTACCTTAACAAGATTAATTGATGTATGTACATACATAACACAACAAAATACAAAAAAAAGGGTTTCTGAGCTTTTACAAGGTGGATTTTTTCCAAGTTGTTACTAAACTACGCACCTCATGCTGCATCACAAAAGAAATTGCAGTATTGGGACCGTAAGGGGAAAACTCATGTCCAGCTGGTTTTGATCCAAGAGAATCTGAGATTTTTCTTCCTTCTTTCAGAAATGATCTAAAAACCACGCAGGTGAGGTGGAAGTACTCACTCATCATGACACAGCCTGGGAAGCAGCTAGCTGGGGGGCAGCTCGTCTGGAAAAGGACCTGACACCCTGCTCAGTGTCAGCAGAGCTCCCCAATGCAAGCTGACAGCACAGCGGGCTCAAAGGCCATGGCAGAGCAGAGTAAGAGGTGACACTTGCTGGATCACACCTAGAAAACTGTGTCCACATGTCCAGT